CTCCCCCTCCCCCCCCGCGGCGGAAAGAAGAGGCGGAGGCCAGGCTAGGACCCTACATGCCTTTATTACAGACTACCAAGCATAAGTGAAATCCATCATCCAGTCACTAACTACACATCTACAGCACAGAGATCTGTCAAGAGGAGAATACACAGTCATTAAATTATGAGATATGATTAAATCATCGACCAATAGAAAATTTATATAATAAAGCCAGAAAAAAGGTGTAAAATATAGTTTACAATAATTATTCACATTCAAGGCTGTACATCAATACATACAACACCATGGCCCCGAACATGAATTCAATCCAAATAATTCATATATTAGAATTTAAATAACACAGACTGAACTAGAGGCCAACAAGAGCCAGCAAATAACCTTTTAAGAATAAAAATACAAAAGTATGTATCTTAAATCATTGTATTATTTGCTTCTGTTTTCACAAATTCTTGGAGGAGGGGAGATTGTTTTGCTGTGTTTGTTGAGAGGGTTTGGGGTTTTTTGTCTGGGTTGTGTTGGTGGGGGGTTTTTTGTTTTGTTTTCGGGAGTGGTTTTTGTTTGGGTGGTTTGTCTGTGGTGGGTTTTTGGGTTTGGGTTTGTTTGGTTTGGGTGGTTTGTTTTTTTTTTATGCATACATCACAGTTACAGCTACTAAACCAGGTAGAGAATATTACACACGTAACTGACTGCCACCAACCTGAAAACAGCTAGCATACAACTATCAAAACTGATTATGGTTCCTGGTTCCTCTTTCTTCCTCTTTTGTCAGATACAGTAATGGTAAGTTCTGCTACAATTTAGAACACTTGCCACATCCAATCAGAGTTAGTATATGGTCATAGGAAGCTTTGTCAAATGGCAACCATCTACATTCACTGCCATGCTGACAGGCAGACCAGGTTATTGGGTGCTTAAGAACTTCTCCAATGGTTTGCTGTATAAAAGTTGTATTTCTTCTAAGAAATAGGAAACTTTCTTAGATTACCATTCTTACCTTAACTGAAAGCATGCCCTTTTGGGTCAGAGAATTACTTGTCTATAAGCTCACTTGATCAACTGATGGACAATCTGTGTCATGAAGCTTTGCAGGAGCACTTCCATTTGATTAATAAAATATTTGCATAAAATATTACAGGCATTCAGCAAATTTCAGATATAAATACCACACCTATTCATGTAATTCACTAGTAGAAAGAATGACCAGAATCCACAGACCACACCTTTAGGCAACTATTAATATACAAGTTCTCTCCTCAGCAAGGTGTTGAAATCAAATGTTTTGTCCACAGGCCAAATGCAGTAATTGTGTTGACTTTACTAAATCATTCAAAAGAAACTGTTAAATATACATGTGAGAAATCCTCATGATTATTCAAAGTTCCCAGCACAAAATGTAATGGTATCAAGCACATTAAATTAAGCATCTTGAACTATGAAAATGGTTTACGGTTATCGCATCTTTGTTTCAACCTATAGAGTTTTTTCTAGGCTTATACATGGGAAATACTTCACAACTAAATCACATCAGAAGGAGAAAACTAAGTGGAGCACAGTACTATCTGATAAGTTTCATGTCTTCAACATCTAAGTGCTTCACAAACGAGATCTTAATAGGTAATATCACTCTGTCACAATGCCTCAACATCATATCTGAAGCACGTCTTCCTTAAGATAAATCCTTCTCAAAACTGAACTTTAAAGCCAGTGGTAATAAACTCATCTCTCCAGTCTACCAATGCAGTTTTAAACTTCCTGTGACTGGGCTGGACACTGAGTAGAACAGTATGATTCAAAAATCCTTTCTAGCAGTAGTACTTCATCCTTTCTTAAGCTCCACCCCACAGAGAACAGATGCAATAAACATTTTCCTGAAGTTCAAATCCCAAGCAAAACAAAATTGCAATATCACTGACCAGATTCTTTAGAAGTCATTGGCAATTATTCAATGTGCAAAAGATGGAATGAATCAATCAACAGAGTGGGTTTTCAGTAGGTTTGTAGTGAGGAGTCTGAAGAAGAGTCTTCAACTGCCTAACAACACTTTTTGTGCTTTGAAAGACCTCAGATGAAGAGCAGAGAAATTAACTGACTTATCTGCAGCTCTGAAGAACCTCCCTTGTACATTTCCTTCCATGCACTCCCATGAATGACAGGAGTGATCTTCAGAAGAAAGATCTGAATCTACCCCACTTCAGGTGTAAGCATTTAAAACAGGAACCAGCCCTTCATAGTATGCAGCACCTGCCAATACACATTTAAGTGGACAAACTGGTGAAACATACTTAAATCCATGTGATTGCTTTGTCTTGCCTTACTCTATTCTTTTGCCATCTTTCAAAGCCACAGATTTCACTTACAGTCCAAGAAAGACTAATACCTCTCCCAGAAAAGTTCTAGTCCCTTCCCAAAAAAAGCAGCAACTAAGGAAGACTTGATTTGGAACATTGAAGTTTTAAGGGGAGGGATGTCTGTAAGAGATGATCAGAGTCTTAATGACAGCATTGTCAACAAAAAAAAAGAATACTAGAATGCAGACATCAGCCTTCCAGACACCTTCTTGATAGCTTACTGCTATCAAGATTTCTTTGGCTGAAAGCTTTTGGTGGGCAGGACAGAAGTCTACTGAGAGAGGATTTCCAAGGTGTGAAAAAGCAGAGTAATTACTTTGTTACGGCAAAATGACAAGTCTAAATATTACAGAAAACATGTTTAAGCATTCTTAGATTTCCACTTAGTGAACAAGCCAATGGAGATGACTCCATCTCCTAATGAAGCTAAGGTGTTCACTACTAGCAGAACAAGTTTGCCAGACTTATGTGAAGCAAGTTTTATCACACTGAACAGCAGTGGCACCATGAATCTCCGTCACTGCCAAAGTCTCCTGTATAAAGATGGGACTATGACTACACCTCTATACCAAAGACTGAATCCAAAAGCAGTAGGGTTGAGTCCAGTGGACACAACATACAGCTGGAATTTGACAGCCAGAGAACAAATGGATAGCACTGCAACAAATTTACATGTCATCTTGGTTAGAATGGTAAATAAAGGTTTAATACAGGCACAGATAGAAGGTGTACTGTGCTATTCAAATTTTACTGACAGGGATTGTACCTTGTATGTGATGAATTTCTCATGATACTAATGGAATGGTGTTCTTTCTCAGCCATTTACAGGACACCTTAGCTCCCTTAACACCTGGCACAGTAAAACCAGTGATTGACTTTTGTCAAGTCTGTGTACATGGTGGGATAACAGAAGACTACAATAATGTAGTTCCTCCAAAAGAAAAGGAAACTGAAGTCTCTCCTTTAAAGACTGAAAGATACTGGAAAAGCTGAACTGTCCTCAAATTCAACCACACCACACAGTTTTGAAGAGATCAATAATAAATCTCCTTCACCCTGTACAACAACAAAGTATCCAACATTCATGTGTTTTCTAAGAAATCCTAATGAGCTACTGCTTTTGAAATAATGCTTCTGTAACAGTAGCCCATGAGTTTTTTCAACATTGCAATGGAACATTTCTTTCTTTGGTGGAAGGAAAAGCGCATAGTATGAAACCTCAAAATGCAAAGAGATGGTATGTGTAGAAGGTGAATAAATAGGTGTGATGTTTATACAGCTTTTAAAATAAGGAAGGAAAGCCTTTGTCCAGACCTAGGTCATTCCTCTCTGCAAGGTTCAGGAACATGGGCGTGTTGAAAATACCATTAGGGAAGCTGGTTTTTAGCACACAGAAAATTGGCTTTGTAATGTTACAAGAAATGTTTGACCACAAAAAAAGCCTTAGTTTGAAGAGGATAAAAGAGATCAATATGAAAAATATTTTCATTTTATAGATATGCATTAAGTACCATATATTTTCCCCTTTGTATTAATATTTTCTTTTGTATTTTTAACCAGATTACTTTATGGATCTAATATTTGAATTGCTTAAAGTTTTTTCAGAGTTGCTAAATATTTGACCAAGGACCAAAAATAGGATTATTTGTATATCTCATTATACAATGAGACCAAAAAAGTCAAGTAATCAGTTGTACAAAGCTTTCACACTTCCTTCTCTACCCAGGTAAATAGGTTGGCCCCACTACAATGCACAATACATGCACACCCTGGAAAAAAAGCTTCTAGCCCTCATCTCCTGAAAAGGTGAAAAACTATTTACTAGTTCAACAGTAACCTTCCCCCCCCATACTAACTAGTTAATTTTTTAGTTAGCATTAGTTAAAGGCATGCTGGTAAGTTTAATGTCCCTTGGTTAAACACACCTATGATTCAAATTAAAATTTAAATTGAATGTTTAAAATCTTATATGCTTCAGACGCCAACATTTCAATTTTAGAAACCTTTCAGTGCCATGTTCAGCATTTTACTCTCTCAAAACCTGTATCATTGGAGCCTGTCTGCCAGATACATAGATCTGATTCATTCACATAATTACTAAAGTACCACATAAATCCTGCAACCAGAACTATATTAGGAATTACACAAGGGTGCAACTGACCTGGCTACAAATGCCATGTACCAGTAAGCTGGGGGACTGTGAGGAAAGGAAGAGAAGACAGAGGTGGTGCTTAGGAGAGGCATACAAAAGCTCCCTGATGAAATACAGTTTAATGATAATCTGAAAGTCACAGAAAACTCCAGCCTTGTAAAATGCAAGGCTGGTACATGATTCAGCATGTGTGCGTGTGGATTGGTTTTAACTCATCTTAAGTGAAGCTGGTAATGCAAGGTCTATCCACTAGTCTGCAGCAGAAATTGAGCTGAAGTGCACAAAAGCAAGATCTTCACTGCAATGATATGTATGTGGAAGCCTCAACAGAAGCACAAAGAGCGAGCAAAGCGACCCTGAATTCCATTAGATTTTTGCTTTTTCTTTTTCTTTCTTAAAAAAAAAAAAAACAAACACACAGAACATTTCAGACATATGCTTCCCCTTGAGATGGTAATAGGTGGGTTGAAAAGATTCCTCTGATCGGCTGCACACGGAGTTCTAGCAGCAAGTAGGGAAACTGGGAAATTTTGGATGAGCTTTACTATTTAGCAGCATTCTGGTGGTATCTGTGCCGCCAAACTTCATGTATCTTTTTGCACCATTTATGAGCATTCCCACTCGGGTCCATCAGGTAATATGTCCTGTTTGGCTATAAGTGAACAACATTTTAATGAGTACTCCAAACACAGTTTAACCAAAAAGCAGTAATTATTCTGCACCTACCAATAAAAATAATTATTCCGAATCACTTCATAAGCTTTCCAAAAGATAAATTCAATTACTGTTACATAACATTATACATTACTGAATAACCATACAGCTGGCATCTCAATTACTGTTAAGCAGTCAAGTCAACTGACAATATACTGTTGGTACGCTCCTTGTGATCCACTATATATACATGAAGAGGGCTAAATTTTAGAAGTCCTTCTTAGGAACTTCCTTCAAATCCCAAAATCCACTTACAGTTTATTTACACACAAATAATAAAAAGTACACAGGTATTTTTGTGGGAAACGCGTATGTCAGTGGTTTCTTGTTGGGGTTTTGGTTTTTTTTGAGTATTTGCAGGGGTTTGGTTTTGTGGTAGGTTTTGTGGGTTTTGTTGTCATTGGTTTTAGAATTAAGGCTATCAACACTTGTATTTAAAGAATTGTATTTTCTCCAGAAGAATTTGTTAACAACTTAGAATAATTGTTCGAGGACCTTAGTGCAACTTACAAATAAATTAAAGGAAGTCACTTACTGTGTGAACAAAAAATGTCTTAAAATTCTTCGCTTCTGGCCGCAACTCTAAAGACCATGGAATTTCTCCTTTTAGAACTTTGTTGACAGGATCCACATAATACAGGTGGGGCCCTTCTGTGAGTAGCAATTGGCGCCGACGTGCAAACAATCCCTAACAAGAAAAGTAGAAGCAGCAATGCAAAAAAGCATGACAGAAAAAAAAACCACCAACATGTAGATCTCTGAATTTAACAATAGAGGTAGAATTAAAACAGCTCAGTGATAGGATAGTATGTTTTAGTTTCGTGTACTTTTTTTGTTTTCCTTTTGCATTACCTATTTGACCTCACTCCTTTTTTTAGGGGGTTGCAGTGCATTCCTACTATATAGCAAAACAGAAGTACTACCTTAAGAAGGCATCTTCAAGTTCTAACAAAATATAAAACAACTAGTTGTACAAAGTCAAGCAAAATCTATCTGTCAAAGATTACAGCACAGAAATCATCAAGTATGATTTTGTGGAGAAAATTAGGAACACGCAGGTAGTAACTTAGATGAAAGAACCTATATTCCTGGCAGAGCTGACACAGACTATCATTGCTCATCTGTACCATGTTAAAGGTAATGCTTAAAGCTGTTCTAATGTCACCTCTGCCTCCCTCAAGATACAGGCACTAGGCAGATCCAAGAAAAACAGCACAGTTACGGACAATATGGGTTTGTATTTTATTTTCCAATAGTTGTGGCTCAATCCACATGCACACATGCATCAAGACAAAGCATTAGTGGGCTATATCAGATTGCAAAGAGGAAGGGGAACAAAAACTCATTTACTACAGTCTCAAAATGAAAGCATCAATAGCACATTTACTTTTAGCCTTTTCAAAAAAAAAAATCAAGAGCACACCACTAAATTAAGAAAAAATATTCACAAGAAAACACTACATTTTAAAAAATAAACAAAACAATTTGACACTTACAAATAAGTTAAACAAGGAAGCTCTAACACAGGCTCCTTATCTATGCTACAACTGTGCAAAAATGTGGCAGCTGAAGTCTTGTTACAGGGAATCAAGAAAAGCCCTTACCTTTCTTTTGTCCACTGGACCCATTTTTAGGATTAAGTTATTTTCTACAAACTGATGCCTTAAAGAAAAACCAACAACCATTACTCCAGAAGTAGTTCTTCCATAGAAACAGCTTTTATTATTATCAAGCAATATTCCTCATCTCTCCCTAGCGTCTCCTTTTCTGACGGAGAGTCCTCAGTCCTTTACTAGATGAGTTTTGGACTCCTCCTCATTCCCCACCAAAGTGTTTTTTCTAAAATCTGATTGGGGAGGTAGGGGTGTGGAATCACAAATGAGAAATTCCTCTCAAAAGTGAAGAGAAACACTAAGAAGTACATGGTCTGGAAGTATTTTGGGTAGGTATCAACAGAATATTATCATTCAAAAACAACCAACTTACGGCGACTGTAAGAAAAAAGGAACATTTTTCTAGTTCTAGGACTCTGCGGAGGGAGGACTTCTCAGCACAGGTATAGTGTCATTTCTGCCTATCTTATAAACATACTCTACAACATCTTCTAGACTTTGTAAATTTTAGAAATATAGTATTAGGTTTTCACTGCTATTGCTTTAAAAATAGATGTAAAGAAAACTCTCATTGCTAATTGATTGTTGACGATATTAAGATGACAAAAATTAATTTTAATCAAAATTAAGTTATTTTTCTGGATTCCTTACTGCTATGCAAGTAACAGATGAGCTTTATTAAAAGAGCTTACCAAGGATTTCCACCAGCTTGTTTTGCCAGAAGTAACCTCTTTTCATCTTCAGAAAACTGTAAGTCCAGCTCAAAGGAATTGTTGTCAAGATCATGAATATACTGTTCAATATTTCCTCCTGATGTCTGCGGTGTACTTGTCTCTGGGGCAGACAGTGAATGGGAAGAGGCAGAACCAGAAACTTGCATGCAACCAAACTGACTCAGGAGATTGTCATACTGAAGAAGGAAACAAAATGAAGACGTTTCTGTGATTAAAAAGCTTATTTTGCACTAAACTGCAGCTTTTAAGCATGCTTTTGTTTATTATCCTTTGGGCAAAAACACAGCTTACTTTCTATACAGTAACAGGCATTTATCCAAAAAAGTATGCTTTGTCAAAAGCAAGCCAACCAGTATTTTTCCAAACACTCACTTTATCAGAAAAAAATGCTGACTAGTCCAAATTTTAACCAGCAATTTTATATTAGATTCTTAATAATTGAATCTTCATTAAAATATAACTCAGTAGTTTCAATGAAAACATTTAATATGCAATAAGTATGCTTTAATGAAAGTCTCAGGCAGCAGAGCTGAAGATAGCAATAGACAAACATACATTTCCATAACAGTCTTCATCATCCTCTGACATAGCAGGCAAATATGCTGTAAGTTTTGGGGGTGTCTGAAGATGTAGGTTCTCCCACACAATGGATTCGAAGAAAGGGTGAGCCTTAAGAGGTCCATATCCTCCCATTTCTTCACAACCTAATCTGTTGGTAGCATCTAGAACCTGAGTAAATTGCAATTAAGTTAGCATGCATCAAATGCTAACTCGCCATAAAGGGGCGAGCACCATTCACATTTGCGCAACAGCATGCAAAAAATTGAAAACAGTTGGTCTCACTGCCCTAAGCATACATATCTAGAATACAAGGAAACTGCTTATAATACAAGGTGTTATTTGTCAGTATGTCTTGTCAGCAAGATTTTGCATTAGACCAGCTCACAGATCTAGAGAAGGGAGCACTTCTTTGGGTCCACACAATTTTTTGGCTTTGTTGCTTCACAAAGACAGAAACAAAACCAAGCAAACACACAGAGAAGGCCTGATGGAGCATAGCTCATTTAAGTATAGCCCAGCATCACATTCTAGTGATGCAAGAAGATGTGGAAGCTATAGCTGGCATCAAACATTAACCTCTCAAACATGCTAAAACCGCACTATTCTCAGGATGTCGATGCAACCTGGACCCTACCATTCAGCAGGCACCGGCCTGGACACAGGAACATGCCACTAGGCCCTTTACAATGGTTGCACTCATCACCAACCAGAAACATAAGGCAAAGTTTCCTCCTTAGCCCTAGCCCCATGCTAATATATTCTAGACTATTGAACTTGAAAAAGCTTATACCAGCCAAAATGTTCTCTGCATATTCATTTTACTGTCATGGCTATATCCCCCTGATGAGACGGAACTATTTTTTTTTCTTCCTACCTGTCAAACATTCACATGTAGAGTAATTCTTTGGCTGATACTATTGAGACATGCATTAAGTGCAAGGTAAGTGCATGTTAAAATGCAAGGTAAGTTGGTTTACATTGTAATGAATATATCTCCCCGTGATACATAAAACACCGTTTTCAACTAAACGATTCATTATACAACTCAACAAGAATTAATCTGAGTACTATGTACTTAACTTGTGTGTGTAATGCACAGTATTTAGAACCATTTGCTTCCATTTCACTGAGAGACACTCCTTGTCCACAATTTAGAATTCAGATTTAAAAAAAAAAAATCATAATCTAAGTGCTGTTTAATACTGGATGTTGATTTTTCAAGACACTCCTCTACGCAGTCAATAATGCTTAGCCATTCTTATTATAATGTTTGCAATAAAGTGCATAGGAAAAAAGAACTACAGAAGCCGAATGTTTCCAATGTCACCAAATCATTTAACAGCAGCAAATATTTACCAATAGCTTTTCAACAAGGTCTTTTGCCTTGGGAAAAAATTTTTCTGGGAAGTCATATTCCAACTTTATTATCTTCTGGAATATAAGATACTCATTTCTGCAAAAGATAAAAATATTAGCTCTTGTTATTAGTTCTCCATGGTTCTTTCACCTTAACAGTGCATAACCTGGACAAATATTAAATAGGAGATCCCATTTAATTCCCATAAATGTTTCTAGGGTAAAGAGTACAGTCTTCCAAGCATCTATGATCCTGTAAACACTGGATACTTGAATAACAACAAGAAAAGTTCAAATGGCGCAATATAGAAGCACCTCACACCCTCTTCATGTAGGCATAGTTACCTTTATTGCATAAATTACATGTGAAATCCTAGGATAAATTAAGGAATCTCTCTCAGGAACTCTAGTTTATAGCTATCTAAGCATCTTCATGACATCAGAAAGGACAAATAAAAGCAGGCATAACATTAACACCAACATTGCACCATGAAAAGCTGTACTTCAGAACTGGCAGTAAGGTAAAAGCTAAAAGCAACTCAATACATTTGTGATCCACATGTAAAGAATTAACTTAAATCTCTTACCCAGCTCTAAATGGAGGCAATCCAGCTACAAGCTGATATATTATACATCCCAGAGCCCAGAGGTCAGAACTTCAAAAGAAAGAGGAAAAAAAACATATAGCATGTTTTCCTAGAAGTCGTCTTTAAAAGGTAATTGTTAAAAAAATTCCTAAGCTTCTGCTAGTTAGAACATAGCACGAACACATTGGACAATGCCTAGCGTAATTTCCACACAATTTTCACTTCATTCCTGGACAGAGGAGTAGGCTAGCAACACAACTTTGGGAAAAAAGAAGTACACAGTACCCATCCCACAACAACTGACTATAAGCACATGTGCAAGACAGCCAAATTCTCAGTCAAAATAATTAATGGTATGCAACGAGACTAAAAAGAATACTTATTATCCACTACCACAATTCAAAGATGCATCCAACTTAATGCAATATATGATCCTTCAGAATTAAAATCCTTTCCTCTAAATATTTTATGCAAAAAAATCCCATCACAATACAGCTTTTCACTTAAAGCTTTTCTTAAGACACCAACAAAGAGGCCAGCTATATGGTACAGGCGTGAGAGAAAGTCTTAAGTTTTAGTGTGCGCTGAAAGAGTATTTTTAACTTATTTTACCTCAAGGTAAGCTATGCATAGTTTATATATAATATACATTAAAGCTTAGAAATCCTCACAGAAAACTAAAATACTAACAAAGGTGCAAAAGTACTCAAATTAAGAGTTTCCCATAAAGATGAAGCATTATGTAACTTCTAAAAGGAGATGATAGCCTAATGAAGTCTTTGCATTAGCCAAACCAGTCAAAACGTCTTCACTAGAAGCAAAAGTGAAAAGTCTAACGGTATTTCTATCATTTCAAGAAACACTAGCACAAATTACCACAGTAATTCATGAGAGATCTCTTTTCCCTATGATTTGTCAGTGATTACTTTGATTATTCTTCCACCATTGTAATAAAATGGATATACTCAGTCTGTAGGTTACCATTAAGAACCAACTTGTATGAGGTAAGAAGTTTCTTAAGGATATCACTCATACCAGGCAGAGAGAGAAGTTTTAAACCATTGCAAACTCCAAGCAGAGTTTAGCAAAGATAACTGCAAGTTGATCTAAATACAAGTCAAAGAAAGCTGTAGCCTTTCCCCTAACTGACAGAATGCGACGTTCTGTCGCTTTTACAGCGGGAATTACCGTATTAGAGCAAGCTTATATAAAACGGAATTAAAATAATAATATTATTTGGATAACAGAAAAAGGTTTTCTGATTTATTTATGGGTAAGAGAAATCCAGCTTCACGTTATGAGCCAGCAGTGTGCCCAGCTGGCCAAGAATGCCAATAGCATCCAGGCTTATTATCAGCAATAATGTGGCCAGCAGGAGTAGGGAAGTGATAGTGCCCCTGTGCTCGGCACTGGTGAGGCCACACCTCGAATCCTGTGTTCAGTTTCACTACAAGAAAGACTGTGAGGTGCTAGAGTGCTTCCAAAGAAGGGCAATGATGCTGGTGAAGGGTCTAGAGCACAAGTCTGATGAGGAGCAGCTGAGGGAACTGGGGTTGTCTAGTCCAGAGAAAAGGAGGCTCAAGGGAGACCTTATCACTCTACAACTACCTGAAAGGAGGTTGTAGCAAGGTGGGTGTCCATCTCTTCTCCCAAGTGATAGGACAAGAGGAAATGGTCTCAAATTGCACCAGGGGAGGTTTAGGCAGGATATTAGAAAAAAATTTCTTTGCTGAAAGGGTCATCAAGCATTGGAACAGGCTCCCCAGGGAAGTAGTTGAGTTGCCATCCCTGGAGGTATTTAATAAGACATGTAGATGTGGTGCTTACAGATATGGTTTAGGGGTTAGGTGGACTTGACAGTGCTATATTAACAGTTAGGACTCAATGATTTTAAAGGTCTTTTCCAACCTAAACGTTTCTGTGTCCCCCTAACACTACCTAATCTGGAGTCTGTAAAACTCCAGAGGTAGACGAACTGAGGAAACCATCACTCAAACAAGCAGCAATACTTGGTAAGAAAAAAAACTCTCTTAAAAGAACCAAACACCTTTCTTTTATATGCAAACATCTTGTTTCTTTGACATACTAAGCTTGCTTGCTTTATTTATCCCCTCCCCCCAGTGACAGTATTCTGACAGTCAGTAAAATTCTGAAATACAACAGAGTACTCACCTTTTACAGGCAGATTTCTCTGTCAGCAGTTCTGGAGAAACATACTGTGCTGTCCCTACAAATGAGTTTGCCCGTGCTGGTAAGAAAATTGAAAGAAATAAGCAAATACACACTGACAGAGAAGCCAACCTCCCCCTTTTCCCCTACCCCCACCTAAAAAAAAAACCCACAAACCAAAGGCAACCTAGCAAGTTATGTAATGTTACAAAGAACCCAGGGGAATTTAGTTTCTCTACCCATTCACAAAACCTGCTTGGAAGAGACAAATCAATTAGTCTCAGTGATAGCTATTTGGTTCAAGAAGCTAGGCATTTAGGCACCTTGTTAGGTATAAAATCTACCAACACAAGCTTACTACATTCAAGTAAAAAATTAAGTTTATCAAATTCAGTCCAGCCTCCTGCTTTTTTCAGGCATTGTTTGCAGCATCATTGATTCACAGGTTAATACTAAGCAACTAGTGACACAAGAATTCTATAACCTTCACATTTGAGCAACTCTGATAGTCACTGGGTTAATTATATAAGCAGAGTAAAAACTTACTGTTTCAGCTGAGCAACAGTAACTATTTGTTTGTATTCTTGCCTTGCAAATAAAAAATAATTTGAAGTAGTTTAACTTCCCACTTTATTTGGTGATCTAGCTGGCTATACCACTACACCAAATACTACCTCTTCTGACATAATCTAAGCAGTAACAGTCAAAACCGTTTCAAGATCTCTCAGTGATTTTGCTAGATAAGAGATTTACCTCTTCAAATGATATTTGAAGAGGTAACGATAACCTTCAAATTTGGTAAATACAACATATGTTGTCAAAGGACCACTTGCTGTAGTTATCTGTGTCGCATAATGAAGTAAGTATATCATACCTTGTCTGCTATCTGCAGATAATACTTTTGCTGTTCCAAAGTCTGTTATTTGAATGTGCATATCTTCATTTAGCAAGATGTTCTCTGGCTTAAGGTCTCTGGAAGAGACAGATTTTTATGCTTCAACAGCACACGAAGTTGCAAACCTGTTTAGTGACTTATGTACATAATGCTATCATAAATTATGCAGACATTCTATAAACACTGTTGTGTAAACTTTCCTCTAACTTGTAGCTGTCAACAAGCAGACTAAAAGACTTTGAAAAGCCCATTAATTAATATTTTTCCTAAGATTACCTGAAATAATAAATAATCTCAAAACTAGGCTATTGCGCATCTCACTTGTTCAACAAAAATGAAAAAAAACCCCAAACCCAAAAAACCACTAACCCTTCACTCCCGGCCTTCATTTAAGCAACATCTGACAGATTGATAAGGCAGTAAGATCTTCTAGGCCTATTTACTCAGAACAAAACTCCATTGTCAAACAATGGCAATCCCCCACCCCCAGAAAAATGTCCAGAACAGACAAGAACTGTAAACCACCTCCACTCTTTAAGAATGGCACGTTTACATTTGTCACATACAAATCCACATATAATCTGTATTTCCAATGTACCCGTACCATTTGCATGGGCACTGCCTCTGATTCTGAATAAAACTAGACCTAACAGTATCACACACAATATATAATCAATATAGTTAGATGTCAAGAGGTCCATTAGCAACAACATAAAAAAACAGCATTGGGTTACACTGTTATATACTTTCCACCCAGTTTCCTCAGCTGACAAGAAAAGACAACATACCTCCCCCACACTACACCGAGGCAAGTCCTGCCTGACCAACGTAGTGGCCTTCTATGATGGAGTGACCACATCAGTGGACAAGGGAAGAGCTACCAATATCATCTATCTGGACTTCTCTAAGACCTTTGACATGGTCCCCCACAACATCCTGCTCTCTAAATTGCCGAGATACAGATTTGATGGGTGGACTATTCAGTGGATAAGGAATCAGTTGGATGGTCACATCCAGAGGGTAGTGGTCAACAGCTCAGTGTTGAGCCTTCTGGGCTACAAGCACACATTGCTGGCACATGTCCAGCTTTCCATCCACCAGTACCCCCAACTCCTTCTCGCAGGGCTGCTCTCCATTCCTTTATCCCCCAGCCTGTACTGATACCAGGGATTGCCTCAACCCAGGTGCAGGACCTTGCACTTGGCCTTGTTGAGTCTCATGACATTCACATGGGCCCATTCCTCAAGCTTGTCCAGGTCCCTCTGGATAGCATCCTGTCCCTCAGGCATGTCAACCACATCACTCAGCTTGGTGTCACCTGCAAAACTGCTGAGGGTGCACTCAATCCCACTGTATGTCATTGATGAAGATAATAAAGGGTATTGGTCCTAATACAGACCCCCGAGGGACACCACTCATCACCAATCTCCATGTGGACATTGACCACTACCCTCTGTAAGTGACCATCCACCCAACAGTCCACCCATCAAATCCATATCTTTCCAATTTAGAGAGAAGGATGTTGGGGGGGGCCGTGTCAAAGGCCTTACAGAAGTCCAGATAGATGACGTCAATAGCTCTTCCCTTGTCCACTGATGTTGTCAGTCTATCATAAAGGCCACTAGTTTGGTCAGGCAGGACTTGCCCTTAGTGAAGCCATGCTGGCTGTCTCGAATCCCCTCCCTGCCCTCCATGTGCCTTAGCATAGCTTCTAGGAGGATCTGTTCCACGATCTTCCCAGGCACATTGGCAAGGCCAACCCATCAGTAGTTCCCAGGGTCCCCCTTGCTACCTTTTTTAACACGCTGCACACTAATTCACACCACAATAGAATTCTAGTTACTTTTCATACATAACACCACAGAAAAAAGGTAGTTAAACAAAAAGTCATTTTCTGTTTTTAGACCAACTGATTAAGCCTGAAAAAGACGAGCTTTTGATAATGTTAATTCTAGGCCAAAATTTTTTTTTCCACATGAGAACAGTTGGTCTAGTAAGAGAGAGAGATCAGCTCTCCTCCTAAAGTTTTCTTTGTTTATTTCCCTATGTTAACAACCGTGCTAATGCTAATGAAATGTTATTATACTCTCAGTTTTCCACAAAATCCACATTTGTTTTAGACTTCAAAGAATCTTTCTAGAAAAAACACCTTGAGAAAAAACAAACACATGTTGGTCTCAACTTTGTATTACCTGTGAATTATTCCTTTCCCATGCAAATACTCCAGGGCTGATACAATTTCAGCAGTATAAAACCTGGTACAGGTCTCATCAAATGAGCCAATTTTGCGTATATACTTTAGCAGCTCTCCATTTTTGGCATAGCTAAGCCCAAAATCTGAACGTAAGTATAGTTAAGGTCTATCACTAAACCATTCTAAAACAAAAGTCCCCACACCTCATTCCAAAGACAAAAATAATACTAAAAATAAATGAAAAACAGGGAAGTAGTGAAGTTGGTTAATGTGAAACTTCACCTGGTAGCAACCCAAATCAATTTCTTAAACATATTACTTAGCATAGCAAAGACTACAAAAAGGGTTAAATTTGTAGTTTTTCCAGACAGTCACCTGAGTAATTCAATTGAACTGTATACATAATTGCCCTCAGAGAGAGCTACTTAGAGTCATAACGAGCATTCAACCTAAGTTTAAAATTGTCCCATCATCTGTAAAGTTCAAAAGTCAGCCCGGTATTCAATTAGCAAATATTTACATTACAAAAGAGAGCCCCTGTAAGTTCTACTAGTGCATGCATGTACACACATAGGACAGCACACAATATAGGGCCTGTCAGCACTGCCAGCAGCCTCTGTGAAAAACACAACTACTTACTGACCCCAGAAATAGACCATCTATGCTTTTAACCTTGGCACAGCCAATGCAAAGCAGGAAGTTTAGGAGGAAATTCATATGATTAACATTTTCTTCACAAGAAAAAAAGGCAACTGGCAAATCAATGAGCTTTCAAGATGAAACTGCACTCTGCAATTACTGCTAGAGAGCGAGCTTGGGAAACTGGCCCAAACAGAAGACCAACTTTCTATCATTCAGATTATTCTGTAAGCACTTTTACATAAGAAAAATTTTAATAGATCTAATTGTTCAAATAAGAAATAGTAGTAAATATAGCTGGCTACCCCTATTTTGAACACAGGAATTGTGGTGTTTCACAGTATAGATCAGAAATAGGACATTTCTAAAACATTTCTCTTATACTCCACAATTTTTAAAAACTTTTTTTTTAATTATTTTAAACTTCTATTGCTGCAAGTCTCCCTTCAGCATTAACCACATGGACAATGTACGTTATTGTTTTATTCATCTCCCCTGTCCTGCAAGTCACCCACTCTTTGAGAATGCACACTCATTCTATTTGCTTAATTTCTATTAAAAGCATGACTGCAAAATTTGCATCACAATCATTAAGATATTTTAAATACCTCAAGTTATTTTCATCATTCCTGTTAGACAACGTTTCAAAGGAACTAAAACTGGGGAGTTACTTTTAAGAAAGTGTTACAGCAAGTTTTAAAATGCAAAGGATACACAGCTTTTCATCATCCTGAAAGGTGAAGTAGAGTTTCACAAAAAAAGGGTGATCCAGGCGGGACATTACATCTCTCTCCCGTGTCACATATGGAACCTTGTTTTCTTTTATGATATGACGTTTTTCTAGAATTTTAACTTAATGAAAAAAAGACAGAATGAAAACGCAGGAGGTAAAACCAAATTAAGTCCATCTAAGTAATTTGTTTGGGGTTTTTTTGTTAGATAAAATTATCATAAAACCACTAATTCTGTCTTTTGAACAGGTGTTTTGTAATAGGACTACATCGATATTGTATTTTTTAAATGCTCATGTTGAAGGAGTCAATACTTACTGGCATATTCTCTAGAACTTGCCAATTCTCGAGCCAAGACAACCTGTTGCCAGAGGAGAGAAAATATATTATAATCATTCATTAAAGACATTCACCAACATTGATTTTCATCTTCCAGTAGGTATTTAGAATAATGATTGTCAAAAATCAGCTATCACAACTGCAATCAGCAAAATATTTAAGCATGTGTTCACATTATGCTGGCTTCAGCAAGACCTGTGCAGAAATTCAGTTCAGCATAACACCACTTGTTTTGCTAGAAGACTTACACACCTGACTGGGTAATCACTGAGTTACCCTTTTTTTTCCCCAGAAGAATTCTGAAGACTGTAACATAAGTCACAGTAAAATGCCAAATCTTCTTAAAAGAAGGGG